GTCCTCTGCTCTGTAGACGATGGGAAGCTCTTCCACGGTAGTGGAATTGGAGACCAGTTTGGCCCTCGCTGCTTTGAAGGGGACATCATGGGCTGTGGAATAATGTTTCCTAGGGACTACACACTCGATCATGAAGGTGATGATGTGTTCAGTGCTTTTTAATCGAGACCTCAAGCCATTATCACATTTATTAAGTGTAAACAAGGTTTTTAGATGCACTTTTAGATGCACTTGAAGCTCAAGTAGTTTTCCTTTCAGATGAACTCGATGACTGGGAGGCTGCAGACGCTCGTCAAAAGCAAGGCCAGGTGGAAAACGTACTGTATTTAAATGATGAAGACGAGGAGGGAGAGGATCCAGAACAAGAGCACGAGGGCCGAAAGGTTATGGTGAGCATCTGCATAAATAATAATAAAAAACAAAAAAAAACACAAGTTCATTTGAAAAGAAAGTTCTGTGACCTCAATTCTGCGTCAATATTATAGACTCACCGGCCACTTTATTAGGTACACCTGCCCAACTGCTCATTAATGCAAAATTCTAATCAGCCAATCACAATCAATGCATTTAGGCATTTACATATGGTGAAGACAATCTGCTGCAGTTCAAACCAAGCACCAGAATGGGGCCGGTCTGAGTATTTCAGAAACTGTTGATCTTCTGGGATTTTCCATCTCTAAGGTTGACTGGTTTAAGCTGATGGAAAGGCAACAGTAACTCAAACAACCTCTCCTTACAGTCGAGGTCTGCAGAAGATTATTATAAAATATTAATAATTGAATTGTTTTGAGGAGATCATGACATGTCTATGGTGATTTTATAACAGTAGACTGAATCAAAAATCAAACCATGGATGTACCAGAACAGAAAAAAATGGTTTACACAATAAAACAAGACATTATTTAATTGATAATTGAACAGTTTTTTTGTTTTGTTTTTTTACTTGTGGTAAAGTGTGTTACATAGAGGAATCAGCTGACAATTCACTTGTTTCTGTCGACGGCTCCCTGGAAACATGAGCCTCTCAAGGCTTTATTTAGCTGAAAAACTGTCGAATATCCACCGTTTCTGCCTCTCGTCTCTCAAATCCATTTATATCTGAAATATAAAGTTCCCTCCAAACGCCGTTGCAGCGTCTATCAATGTTGCTTTAATAAAATGCTCGTTATTAATCTCCCTCATGGTAATATTCACACACACGTTAAAGATTTGTGACACTTGTCGCGACTTCACTTGGGGTTAACAAAGAAAGGAAACAGGAAGAGCATGAGGTTTGCTCTGGGACTCACTGCAGCCTCTTCATTATCTAGTCGCACATCCCGTGCTATACATATACAGTGGTACCCCGAGATACGAAAATAATCCGTTCCAGGGTGACGTTCGTATCTCGAAGCAAGTTTTAGATGTAAAACGGCTCTCAGAAACATCAGTATAAGTTTATAAAAGAATGCAAAACAAAATGTGAAACCTTACCTTGAGTGAAGCGATGTGTCGGAGGAGGAGGAACGGATGCAGAAAACATTACGGCAACACGTATGAAAGTTAACTTTCTCAGGATATTTCATGAATTACTGACACCAACACGGTTTCAAACACAAGCGCAGACAGTAGCGATCGTACTGGAGAGACCCTTCTGAGAACGAGTCACTGGGTTTCTCTAAGTTGCGCTACAGAACAGAACTTTCCACGTTATAAACGTTATTTCTTTTAACGACACCTTGACTCTAACATTTGTTATAGCACATTATTAGTAATCTATACGCAGTGTTTCGCTGTGCTGTTGAAGTGTTTTAAGCGTATCAGACCCTTTTTGCACTGGGAGAAAAGCGTAACGCGGCGTCATACAAACAAGCGGAAAATACATCAGAAGAGCTTGCAGTTGTTTGTATCTCGAATTTTTCTTCGTACCTCGAAGCCAGAAATTTCCCGCGAGAACCCATTTCCGGAATAAGCCTGGGCAACTAAATGAAGAGATTGAAAATGTATTTTTTTAAATTAAAAATAGAGACTTTTTGAGTAAAAGAATCACATTTATCACAAATATAGAAATATAGATGAAGATCTTTTAGAAATAAGTGGTCAACAATTAAAAGTAAAATTTATATAAATAAATAGATAGATAAATATCATTAGAACAAAAATAAATAATGTAATGTAATAAAGGAATGGGCATTTATTATTATGTGATACAAAAACTGCTGTATATCTTGAATTCCAAACCAAGTGAATGGATGTTTCAGGTTCATCGGAGCAAATAAAGCATTAAGTGTCTCTCATGTAAGCGATCGTTCCTGTCCTGTACCAAGATGGCGCCATGACACGTCACACATGTAGCATTTCTGCTAAACGCTAATCTTATAAACAAGACCTCGCACTGTTGGAGTTCTTAGCTTTGTTGATAAATACACTCTCTCTGTGTCATCCAGCTGTGGCACGATGTCTCTGTTTTTACTCATCCAGGTGTTCTTCACCCGAAATGGCAAGATCATTGGCAGGAGGGAAGTGGTGGTCCCCGAAGGAGGCTTTTTCCCCACCATCGGGATGCTCAGCAGCAGAGAAAAGGTGAAGGTGGACCTCCATCCTCTCAGCGGATGACTAGAACTGCGTCTCTCCAGTCAATGCTGAAATGTCTGTCTTTAAATGTTTGAGAGCACTTCAGAAATGCAGCTTTAACACGTTTATTGCACCAGAGCATGATTGATGCTAGAACATATCGACCTCGGCTTAAAACGGTTTACTGTGAAAACCACGAGGAGAAATTCTTCATAAGGAGCTGTTGAAACAATACTGTACGAAGAAATGTATCTTAAAGCCTTTGAGTGATATATTTTAATGTACGTGTATAGTGTATATGTAAATTGATGCGATCTTCAAGCATTTATTTATCACAATCAGTCATGTTATTAACTGAACCTGCTTAGAGACGTCCTGGAGAATGTTTAGTTGAGGGTAACAATATCACTGCTTTAATATTGGCAAATATACCACCATCACTCTGCTCGATGTGAGCTTATCACAGTTTATCAACGTATTATGGTAAGTTTATAATGGTTCATAACGGGGAATACATTACGTTAAGTTTTAAGGGTTTTTCATCAGCTCATGACCATTCATTACAAAGTTTCATTTTAAGGGTTTTTATTGCTTTACTTTGTTAAACAGATGAAACAGGAGGAGAATTAAAAACATTTTGAGCACTTCGAGCCGGATAAGGCCACCAGCAGATGAGGACATGCCTATTTTTTTATGTTAATAAACAGTTGATTTTATAGTTGTAATGCAAATAAAGTGTTGCTGCAAAATGTATTATAGAAAGAGTGGTTTATAGCATGAACGTTACCTGTATTTTTGCAATTAAGTAACTATAAATATTTAGTTTTATTGAATAATCTTTTTGTTACAAAGCATGGTATGAATTTTTTTTATATTTCTTATGGACAAAGTACAATATTGGGGAAAGGTTTTAAGCTTGCGTGATATTGCTGCCAACAAAGAAATATAACTGACGACTAAAGAAAACCCAAAATCCAGCATCTCAGAAAATTAGAATAATGCGATAGGTTTCATATTCGATAGCTGGTGCTACACTGTAATCAGCTAAATAACCTGTACAGACTTGTAAATTGTCTTCCACACTATTTCTTTGGGCTTCTCAACCATCAGGGAGGACTGCTGACTTCAAAGTTGCACAAAAGATGACCATTGATTCTTTGCACAAGGAGGAGAAACCACAAATGGTCATTGCAAATGAAATTTCCGTTAACAGATGTCCGTGTTCAAGCACCCAGTAGAGAGATTAAGGGAAGGAAAGGTGTGGTAGAAAAAAAAGTGCACAAGAAATAGAGATGCCTGCACCCTGGAAAGGATTGTGAAACAAAACCGTTCAAAAATGTGATTGTGCACAGTGGTTTCTGAAGCACCGACTCACACAGTCCAGACAAAACTGGACTGTTGCGGAGTGCTCCAAACTTATATTCTTTGATTCAGAGGCTCGGAATCCACATTGCTTGTGGTGCAGCATAAAGTTTCCACAATCAGTGATGCATCAGGAGCCATGTGATCTGCTGGTGTTGGTCCACTGTGTTTTCTGAGGTCTTAGTTCAAGGCAGCCATCTACCAGCACTTCTTGATTCCTGCTGCTGACAAACATTATGGAGATGCATGCTACTTCAGCACTTAGCGCCCAGAAAGTAAGCAAGGGACACTGTACATCAATCTTGCAAAAAATATCAAAAATCACGTCCTATTGCAAGCAGCAATGAGCGGGCCAAAGCCACTGCCACCTGGTCTTTTCACTTATTGCCAAGGGCTACTTTGTAAATGTCACAAAAATACAATTCATATAGCCAGCAGGAGGCGCTATGAGTGTACCATCATAAAAGCATATCAATTTGGTGAGTTGGGGAAGCTCATCATTCCATAATTTCCAGAAGTATGTGAGGTACAGTAACAAATACATTTATCCCGATATGTTTGAGAACGGTCAAATTCGTAATGGCGCCACAGCAAGACCGTGTGACCTTTTTAGGCGGTCGCCAGACCAATGTTTAGCTAAATCTGGCAATTTTCTGCAGAAGAGTTTGTTAAAATGTGAGGTTAGCTTTTTCGACTTCAAGGGGGCGCTGCAGAGCCGTCGTTTAAGGTGCAGTCGCGGTGATCGTGTTAGATTACCAGACTTAATGAGCATGACCTCTGGGCAAAATTTGCTCGGCTTTCTAACATGTTTAGGGCATTAAAACTGCTAAAATGATAATTTTGGTTACATTGAAGGGGGCGCTGTTGAGCCCATTTTTAGAGTCAAGGTGCCATTTTCAGTGAGCTTGACCTTAGATCAAAATTCGGTGATTTATCGAGCTAGCCAAGATGCGACGAAAACTAAGATTAATAATAATAATATTTGAAAATATGGCTTCACCGCACACATTCGGTAGCAGGCCTGGACCCTAATTGGATGCAAGACTTTGTGAAGATGCTGTCAAATAAGGGTTCTGTGTTCAAAGCTTTCCTGTGGCTCAGTTGGTAGAGAATTGTGCAGACACTGCAAAGGTCGTGGGTTTGAATCCCAGGGAAACAGGAATTGACAAGAAAAAAAACAGTGTTTATTCATTCAAATGTAAGTCGCTTTGGATAAAAGCGCCTGCCAGAGGCGTAAATGTAACATGTGACCTGACCCATTAAAATGTTTAAATAGTTCGATTGAGATGGCTTTTGATTTCAGAAAGTTTGCTGCAAACGCAACAAATAACGACGAATTATAGGTTTTAAAAAGTACTATGCGTAATAAATTAAAACAGTGTTTTTAAATTACGGAGACAAATACTGTTATAGTTAGGAGGTTTGTTTAATAAATATGTGAAATGTGCTCTTAATAGTTGATAGCAGGAGAATTGTGCAGACTGTCGTTTACATTATGTATTTGCCGACACTCAATACCAATCTGTTTAAGAGACTTCAAATGCAAATCCCACAATTTCAGCAAAACTTTGGTTGCTAGGGTACACAAATTGGTAGCTAAGGAGTTGTTACTGTGATTAACATGCAGAAACCCACATTTCCTTATGCTGCATATTCAATGGGCATTGTGTAAATGGTAAATCTTCTAGAGCATGGGATTCAAATACCTTTGCACGGTGGTTGATAGGTTCTTGCACAGACTGGTAACCTCCACAACGGCAGAGTTTCTCAGTTTGATCAGTTTGAAAAAAATAAAAATAAATAGCAAGTCGTAGGAAAACCAAAACATTTGCCTTTAAAGTAATAACTTTATTTGAAAAAGGTGTCCAGACATTTGGTCTCATCGTTAAAAAAGGCTTAAAATGCTGATAAATAAGAAGGTAAAACATTCATGGTTTGCCAGTTGTGTCTCCGTTGAGGGATTTTATGCTTAAAGTCAATCAAAGTGCATTACAACCGCGAGATGAACCAAAAGATTGTTGCATTTTCAATCAATCCTTTCTGAAGGCGAGAGAATAAAACATTTAGATACCATGTAAAAGTTCCAAATGAAGTAAAAATGTAATCAAACTAGGCTTGAAGCGCGTCATCTAGACTAGAGAAGCTTCCCCAACGACCTGATGATCACTACGTTTAGCGCAAACACATTTATAGGCACATGTAAAAGCAGAAACATGGATATTTGGACAAAAAGAGACGGACAGCTGAGACTACAGGGAAAATATGCTGGTGCTTCTGGGAAACTAGAGTCCGTCGAATCCACCCCTCAGACCTCGTCGTCGTCGTCATAATAGCGGTTCCGCTTAATCAAGTCCTCTACGGTTAATTCAGCTTCTTCAGCATCCCAGAATCCCACATCCTGTGAGGTCTGGTTCAGTCCAGGTGCTCTCTCAGGAGACAGAGCAGAACTGTTATCCGGTGTGCTGCACTTCAGAGAAGAAAGCTCCACTTCCTGTGGATCAGCTTTGTCTTCCTGATCCATGCGCTCATCGTCTTCCACCTTGGTGTTACCTAGGCCTTGTTCCTCCTCCTCGTCATCCTCTGACAGGTTATGCTCAGTCATGTCCTCCGAGGAGATCACGGTGTCGCTGGTTGATGAAATCGGTGACATTTCCTCCTCGGAGCTCGACTTCTCGTTCAAAGGGGAACGCTGACATCTCTTGCTGGGCTCAATGACTGCTGGAGGGTTGAAGGTGCAAAATGGTTTGCTTCTCTCTTTGAGGGAGATGCTTCTACGGAGCTTGGGGAGATCAGATTGTTCACTTGAGATACTTGATACGGAGTCCCCCTCTGGTGGCCATTTCGGGCGAATGGGTTTGATGCCATTGCTGTCGTTTGCAGAACCCACGTTGGTTGAGCTCCTGTCCCCTTCAGAGAGTGGAGGCCAGGATATCTTGAGTCGTCCGGCCTCCAGAGGCTTCTCCATCCTTTCTGGGGAGGCCTGGGTTAGGGTTTCCAAGGTGGCAGTGAGCACGTTAACCTTTACAAGTGGAGACTCCTCTACTGTTGGGCTGGAGTCAGATCCCTGGGGCGAAAGCTTCATTTGCTCCTCGTCTCCTTCTCCTCGAGCCTCCCAAAGCTCCTTATGGGGCCGGTGGCCGAAGCCCTCGTCGTAGTTGCCCTTGGCTTTAAACAGCTGGCAGAAGTGAGGCTTGCAGTAAACGTTGTTGTGCAAAGAGGCGTAGTTCACCAGACTGGCAAAGCAGAGAAAGATGGATTAGAAACTAAATGTCTAAACTTTGTCCCACCATTTACCAACAATTTTCCTGAGCTGAGCAATAGGTTTTTTTAAGGTGGTTGCTAGGGTAAATAATCTGGTTGCTACGCAGAAATCAACAATTTCATTAAAAGGTTCCCTTCTCATTATGAGCGATATACGGCAAGACTTGTGTTGATGTTATGAAGCTGAGATTGGTTGCTATGGAAAACAGTCTGGTTGCTATGGAGGAGTAAGTGACATAATATAATGTTCCCAATGTTACTTTGAGTAACAAAACAAACCCCATGTTGCTATGAATTTCCGAGATAAAGATATGCCAAGTTGGTTGCTAGGGTCAATTGTATGGTTGCTATGGAGGCGTCAGTGAAATTATGTAATTTTACCAATGTCACAGACATTGCAACCGTGACATAATGCAACCGCCATGATGCCATCAAACAGATGTAAAATGTATTTGCTTGAATGAAGAGACTTTGAAGAACAAGCTTTTGATTTTGCCACTGATCTAAAACAAGACTCGTCATATTCTCGCTTCATGAATTTACAGAAATCTTTGTTTAAGAAATCAAGGTTAAGTTCTGACTCTTACAGAGCAAGACAAAAAATGCTTAAATATTGTAAATATCTTTGATTATGGAAGAATTATGAAAGCAATAATATCTCATTTTAAGACCACGGTTATTTATGTATTTTAAGCACAAACATTCTTAAGTTAGTGATGACACAAATCATGTGGTAAATAAAAGTGTGACTTTTTGTGGAAAACTCTTCTCTCCAACCTTGAACAGTAGCGTATACAAGCGATGATACATTGGATAAATTCTCTCTCTCTCTCTCTCTCTCTCTCTCTCTCCAAATAAATGCAAAACAAAAAAAAATTTAAGTCAAAAATTCTTGTTTTAGGACTCTGTTTTAGGAACTAAAATTTTTCTTAAATATTCTGTTTTTCTCCTTTTTGAGACCAAGTCATATTTTTACGTACTTTATTTAAGTAAAATCTTTATGTTTACTTCTAATTAAGACAATTTGCCTAGTTTTAAGAATTGTGTTACTAGCTACAGGTTCTAGATTCTAGACAAAAATATAGTTGTTTTTTTTTGTCTACATTTAAGCCCCATCAGTATTTTTTGTCAGCTAGACATTTTATTTTCTTGATCTTGGAAGAGTTTCAATATATAAATTTTTTTCTTTGTTCCAGAAGTGTTTTTTTTTTGCAGTTTGGAGTAAGTACTAACTCAACATCTGCGATGTACTCATACAACAAATCTAACTGTGGCTTCCAGCTGCGGCGGGTGTTTCTATTGTGCATCTCTTTCCTTTCATTTATCTCAGGTAGTGTCACAGGTGTAGACAGTATAGGGCGTAGAAGTAGTGGAGTATAAATGTACTACCTGGTCGTTTCGTACTATATAGTAGAGAAGTATTCCATTTGGGACAGGCTCACCTCAGTTTCGTGTTGCAGTAGGCACAGCGGAAGCAGGTGTTGTGGTAAATCTGCTGGTTCGCTACGAGCTTCTCCAGTGGGTACACCGTCTTAAGGCACATCACACAAGTTTCTCGAGCAGCCGGGCGAAACTTCTGAAAAGGTAATAAAAATTAACCATTAAAACATTTTTGCCAGTAATTTGCATAACTGAACTGTGCGTCAACATTTGTGAATGGATTAAGATTTAAAAGCGACTAGCATTCTTCTTTTTCTTCTTCTGACTCTCCTTCTGATTTTAATTTTCTTCTTTTGATTCTTCTTCCCCTCCACCTTTGTCTTCTTCTGATTCTTATTTTCTTATTATTATGATTCTTCTTCTGATTTCTTTTCTCCTCCATCTTTTTCTTCTGATTCTTATTTTGATTTTTATTTTCCTCTTGTTTTGATCTTCTTCTGATTTTTACTTTTTATTTTGATTCTTCTGATTCCCTTTCTCCATCTTTTTCTCTTTCTGATTATTCTTCTGGTTTTCATTTTTTCTTTTGATCCTTCTTTTCCTCCATCTTTGTCTTCTTCTGAGTCTTATTTTCTTCTTTTGATTTTTATTTTCTTCTTATTTTGATTCTTCATATTCCTTTTCTTCTCCATCTTTTTCTTCTTCTTCTGAATTTCATTTTCTTCTTTTTATTCTTCTTCCCCTCCATCTTTGTCTTCCTTTGATTTTTATTTTCTTCTTATTTTGATTCTTCTTCTGATTTCTTTTCTCCTCCATCTTTTTCTTCTTATTCTTATTTTCATCTAATTCTTCTCCAAGTTTTTCTTCCTCTCCCTCTTTTCTTATTTCCCTTTTTCTTTTTAATCTTCTTTTAATTCTTCTTCTGATTTTTATTTTCTTCTTTTGATTCTTCTTCAGAGTCTTCCTCCACTCCATCTTTTTCTTCTTATTCTTAATCTTCTCATGATTCGGTTTTAAATTCTTCTTCTCCTCCATCTTTTTCTTCTTCTGATTCTTCATCTTTTTTTTCTTTTGATTCTTTGTTTCTTCTGATTATTCTTTTTTTCTTCTTCAGTTTATTGAACCTATTGCTCCCAAAAGACCATTGCTCCCAACAACACGTCTCCATCTTTTGCGGTTCTGGGTGATTCTGTCTCTTTAGCTTTTGCTGTGGATTCCAATTGAAGACCTGCTGGGTGACCCCACTTTTCTCGTAGAACCTGGCTCGTTATTGATGTTTGTCCCTCTCTTTGCCCTAGATTTTATTCCTGATCTTGTCTCTTCACCTGATTCTGAAGAATGTTAGTATCTCCTGCTTTGTCTCTTTGATCATCCTCCACAGATTGAGACCTTTCCATTGTTGCTGCCTGTTATCGCCAGTCGATGACCAGCAGGAAGAAGAAAGGCAACAGTAGGCGCCCTCGACCATCTCTGGTCTGCCCTGCATCTTGATGGGGTGCACTTGAGAGGGAGATGGA